GATTAGAAATTAAGTGTTAACGAGCAGTTGGACAGGTGTACCTAATAAAGTGGCCGGTGAGTGTATATGTACTATATAATGAGGATGTTGCAGTTTTGAAGCCATTGTAAAACAGACCCAACTGTTCCTGTCTTCACTGCTTTACTGCCCTCGTCTGAACCGTGTTGTAGAGTTGTGATTTCTGGCCCGAACCCAAGTCGGGCTGAAATGATGTGCTTGATAGGCGGGCCGGGTCGGGTTCAGGCTTCTGGTGAGGTTTTACAAATCATACAGCACAAAGAAAAATAAATGAGAATGCTCAACATAAAACTGTGTTAATCTACTTATTGTAAAAGAGGAGGAGGCAGTAAGTTAACTATGTTGGATGAGGAAAGAAAGAAAACAGAGTGAAGAAATTAAGACTGAAAAGAAAATAGCGCTGATCGTGCAGTTGTTTAATGCCCCACCTGCCCTGCTTTGCTCTTAGAGGAGGATGCATGGTGGGTCTGTTGGGTTCTTACTTAGTTATTTTAGGAGTTTCCCACCTGAACAGTACTCTCTATATACAGAAGCTAGATAACAAAGAAAGCTATTTAGTGCTAAACATGAACCACCTGGTCATTTCCCCGCCTCCTCCCAGACGCTCGGACATGTCCAGCCCCAGCAACGCTTGAGTTTTTACGCCTCCACTGGTTGTTATGGTCACCAGCTTGTTGCCCACCAACCAGGTCATACTGCGACCTCCGGCTAACAGAAACTCTGCTATGGGAGACCTGAGAGGAAAGCCAGGAATAAAAGCTTGCATTATTTCCCAATTGAGCAAGGGACAAGCAAAAATGATACCAACTTCTACCAACCTTTTGGGCAGCGCAGAGAAGTTGGAAAACACATATCGGGCCATCATATCTAGACAGGTCTCTGTGAGCTCCAGGTGGACAGTCTTGAGCCCCTCATCTGCCTGAGTTACGGCATTTTCATCGGCAGAGCCCAGACTGCAGGTGGTGGTTGAGGTGTGCATCCTATAGGAGGGAAAGAAGAGACGGTCAAACAGCAGGAGAGCAGGAGGACGGCATGCAATACGTGCACATAGACATGCAGTCTCTCAACCTACAGAAGCTGCAGACAGTTCTGAAAACAACAAGTCTCTGATGCTGTGACAGCACACCAGTGCTGAGGTTTCTGCCCAAATCACATGCAAGCCAAGCATTTATTTACATGCATCTATTGATGTGAAATAATGACATGATTATTATAATCTAAAGCACACAAATCAGCTGGGACCTGGTCTAAGTCAGAGATTCTTAACTCAGCGCCACCTTGAGGGCCTCAAAAGAACAACAGTTTTTAATTTTGGGCCGCAGAGGACCACGGGACTGCACTGATTTTGAATAAGATGCAATGCACTTCCTCACCACTAGTAGCGGTAGTGCGCCACTCAGATGTTTAACAACTTCTTTTAATACATAGAAGAAGAACCTTAGAAACGTGCCGAGAATGTAAGCCTATTTTAAATGAAAAGTAGAAGCAAAAATAAAGGCAACCCGTCAAAAAAAGGCCAAAGTTTGTCACTAATATGAAGAGCAGCTTCTGGTTCTACCATGTAATATTTGAAAAGTTCAAAACATTATAAAAAAATAACAGATACAGCTATATTTTAATTTGCACTTTATCAAATTGATTTTTGTAGCTTATTTTTAAACATTTTGAATGCATTTTAAAGAAACATTCAACTTGTCAAAAAGCTGTTGTTACTGTTACTGTTTGTCACTAATATGAAGAGCAGCTTCTGGTTCTACCATGCAAAAGTTTAAAAAGGCTTTATTTTCATTTGTACTTTATCAAGTTTATTTTTGCAGTTTTTTTATTTGGAACATTAAATATTTATTGCATTGTTTTTTTGTTGTTGTTTATGTAATAAACTTTTGTGTTGATAAGCCTGAGTGGTCTATTGACTGACCATTGTATTTTTTCAAATAATTGTTATGGGCAGGTTACAATGTAAAAAAAATGTTTGTCATAATCATGTCTTCTGATTATTTGACAGGAGTTTTACTTTTATACTGTATGTGTATTTAATTTAGTTATAATGCATTGGTAATGTCTGACTGGGCCTCGTGCCACTTTCTGTTCAACATATTGGGCCCCGAGGTGCAAAAGGTTAAGAACCCCTGTTCTAAAGAATGTAAATGTATGAAATTCATCAGACGTAGCCTATACGTCTCCTACACCCACAGGCCAAAGCCATTAATGGTCAGAAGTTCCCACCACGGCTGAGGCTCACCAATATTCACCAACGTCTGATGTGAAACTTAAAATTATGAAATAAAATCAGCTATTCCACAGTGTTTTGTAAAAGATGGTATGGTAAAGAAATCCACGATCAAATGAAATTGCAAATGGATTTATTCATTATTTTGTGAATGTTGACCCAAGTCTCGCAACTAAAATACCAAAAGTAGATGGGTTTAGAGCTCATCATAGCACAGAAACAGCACTGGTGAAAGTTACTAATGATATTCTCATGGCCTCAGAC